AATTAATTTTAAAAATTTTTTTTATATTTTTGGTAATTTTTTAAATATATATTTACTTTTTTTTATTAATTAATTAATTTAAAGTTATATGTAAAATGAAAGGTGCATACTTTTAGACTAAGAAAGTGCTTTTCATGTCTAATATCAAATCTAGAATTAATGATACATATAAAAATGGCAAATTCATGCAAAAGATTTCTATTTATATGTTAAAATCTTTACCTCTAAATTCAAAGATATTGTTTCATAAGTAATAAAATCTCAAGATTTTCCAAATTAAATTTAAGATTTTTAATACACGAAATCAGTGTTAAGGTTTTTAGAATCTGAAAAGATAGTAAATATTAATTCTGAAACAGATAAATCATCATACATTTTAATGTCGTTTGTCAGTAAAAAAAAAGGCAGGCTCGAGAATATTCTTCAAAATGAAGAATGTAGAGATTTTTTTAATTGGACAAATTGCATGAAAAAGTAACGTATTTTAATTTGAAGCTTATTTTGAGTAATGTACTTTTAAAACTTTTATTTTGGTACCTAAGATGTAAAGTTTTAGACATTTAAGTACCCGGGTAACCGATTGAATCATTAATGTCGTCTTTAATAAAAAAAAGGTAAATTACATGAAAAAGTAACGTATTTTAACTTGATTTCATTTTTGGATAATGTATTTTTAAAACTTTTATTTCGGTACCTAAGATGTAAAAATTTAAACGTTTAAGTATCTGATTGAAGCATTAACCGGTTACCATGCTGATCTGACGAGTGATTTGACTTACCTTTTGAATTTCAAATCGCTCGCCACATCAACATGGAATCCGGTTAATAATTCAAGCGATTATCCGGGTACTTAAATGTTTAAAATTTTACATCTTAGGTACCAAAATGAATGTTTTGAAAGTATGTTACCCAAAATATGAATCAAGTTAAAGTACATTACTTTTCATGTAGTTTGTCTTTTTTTAATTTTCCAAAACTTTTTTTAAAAGAAAAGCATAACAGAGAAGATAAAAGAATATTTTAATAATATAATTAATTTTATGATATTTAATATAAAGAATTTATTGGAATTAAGATTTGAAATTAAATGTCTGTTTATTATTTATTAAATATAATTAATTTTATAATATCTGAAATAGAAAAAAATTAATATTGTTTTTCTTTTTGGAGATTATAATTCGTTATTTATAATATTATAATATTAATTAATTTTTTTGTCTGTTATAACCCGTTATATGAAACGGGTAAAACCCGGAAACCCGAATAGTTATTACCTAATATACGAATGAAATAAAAAGGAAAGAAATTGGGAGTGTACACAAAATTTTAGGGTTTTTTTTGGAGCTGAAAAAACGAAAACGGAATTGTTGGAGGAGTGTGTGAGAGAGAGTGTAGATCTTAGTGAGCGAGAAATGGAAGAGTTGGTCTAGCAATGAAAGCTGGAGTGGAGCGAGGATTTGGGCTACAAATTAGATTACGAATTGAGAAAGTAATTGCGTTCAAATAGTTACTTTAGATTTTGCAAATTTTGCAATTAATCATCAAAATTTAACCTAATTTGGATGGTTTTCCTTTTTTTCTCAGTGATTTTGATCTATCTGGATACTCTCTTAACTCCATCATGATTTTGTTATGATCGTGTATTAAATACGTATAATCTGGCTTTAATTGTATGTCTCTGTATAAGGTTTTGAAGATCTTGTGTGATCTATACACTTAGATGCACATTTCGGTTTCTTTTTTGATTCTGTTGAAATTTTTAATAGGGTTTGATTTTTTGGATTGATCATTTTTGGGGGGAATTCATGATTTGTCCTTGTATATGTGAATTACCTATTTTGAGTTCTCTTTAAAAAGAATTCAATGTGATCTTTTAGATGGCAGTGATCAATGGCTCAAGACGAACATACCTCTAGGTGTAGTAATAGCAGTAGCGGTGGTGCTGGTGGTGGTGGTGGTGGCGGTGGCGGTGGTGCTGGTGGTAGTAGTCATAGATCTTCAAAGAAGTTGAAGCATAAGAAAGTGCCTCAGAGAGGAATGGGGGTTGCTCAGCTGGAGAAGATTATATCCGAAGAACAACAGAAGAAAGATGTATCTGTTTTGACATCCAATTCCATCATTTCTCCGAGCAATTCATCTTCCAATTTGGCCACCACCATTCAAAAAGTTCCCAATTTCAGGCCATCACCAATTTCTTCATCTTCCATCCCTTTGCCACCACCATTACCACCCAATCACCATCCTTTGATTTCCAAAACTGATGCTGTGAACCCCATATCTGCTTCCACCTTTTCCAAGCCAGCGAGCATGAGCAGTGGGGGCGGTGGTGGTGTCGGAGGTAGTAATTGGTGTAGGTTATGGAGTGATGGAGATTACAGTTTTGAAGGGGAGAAACAGAATCAAAGTCAAAATCATAATCAAAATCATGGGTTGGACCACCCTAGATACACTGCAGCCTTTCCAGCAAATCTTGGTGGTTTGCCTTACGAATCCAACCCACCTATTTGGCCTCCTCCTCCTCCTAATCTAATGATGCAAAGATCACAACATCTTCAGCAACCTTGTTCTTCATCAATGGTGCACCTTTCTTGGTTCATTCATTTTTTTTTTGTATATGTTCTTATAGATTATGTTATTTGGTTTATAACTGTTGATTGATCATTAGAATTAGATGGGTTCTAAAAAGAAGTCAGTAAATTTTATTTGCAGGTGAATGTTTCCTCTGGAACTTCATCATCGTCTTCATCCTCTGTTATGAATTTGCAGATGGAGCCCCCTTCAAACCAAAGCTATTGTGGCAACAACTATCAACCATTGTGGTCAGAGGAAGAGAAGGTGATGTTGCTCTTCTCTTTCACCCTTTTCAACTGTCTGTATGTGTGTCCTACTTGTGTATTTAGTTTAGTATGCAAATTCCATTCGAAGATAGTTTTAACCATCGAATTAGTTTCCACTTATTTCGTTTATTCATCATTTTCATTTCGCGTGAGTATGTGAATCATTGGTCTCATTTACTTTCTATAAGAAGAAAAACCAAGATGAGATCCATAAGGGGGAAGAAGATAGTGTAAACTAATGACACCTCATAAACGTGTAACGTGTTATGTGTCTTTCTAGTGTGATTTCTTCGGTGATAATGATTTTGGTTCGAAAATTAATGTAACATTTGATCTTGGTTTTTGACAGATGGTTGGCATGAAGAGGCCATACCCCTTTTCATTGGAAAATGTTCCAATTCCATCTTTTCACTGCAAATTTCCTTCTGCTTATATCCCTTCCATCCCAAGATCAGATGAATCAGCTTCTTGTAGCAATGGAGGCACTGTTAGCATAGAATCTGCACATCCAATTTTCAGGTGAAGAAAACCTTAAGTTTGATTCTTATTAGATATTTGGAACAGTTGGGCCACAAATGAGAAGCTATAAGATTGTTGTTTTAATGGTTTATGTTTTCTGACTCCATTGCAGAGAACCCCCTTTAAGCTCAGGAGCCATAAACGATACAGTAACAAAGAAATTCATCGATGAAAACCAAGGTCTCACCCGAGATTTTCTCAAGTTAGCCCCTCCTCAACCACATTCGAGTTCGAAAGAGAAGCTGCATTCTTCGCCTTGTATAGGAGAACAGACCCAGTTTGAAACTCTATCACCTCATAAAGTGAGATTTCTTTGATATTTCTCTTTCTTTATATTTAATCTTTTGACAGATTACATCTCACTTATCACTTTGTTTGATTTTTTTCCTTCAAGGGTCAATCAAAAGGTTCAACCCATTTTTCTGGACCAGGTGGGTCAAACCCGCAGCCGTTTCTTAGTTTCTTCCCAGCTGCAAAAACACCGATGGGGCAGCCAGGAAACAGCAATGGTGAAGCGGGGGAAAGCGTTGATCTTAATTTGAAGCTATAGAAGGCTCTCCCTATTTTCTTGAAGTCTTGTTCATTTCAGTTGGCAAAGTAAGGTAGCTCTTTTTTCTTCAACAAGTGATCATGAATGAGAAATAAAAACTATATCACCCCCGCCCCCTCTATTTTGAATGTAGTTTAATTTACTTTGGGGCAAGTTCAAGTAGTCAATGGAAAAAAACACACTGTAGCTATGGCTTAGCAAGACATAGAGATCGTGATTTATGAACTAATCGAACTTTGTTGGATTCTCACAGTTTACCCTAGATTCGTTCTCTTTCTTTCCGATTTACTTTTGATTTCTCTATTCATGTGTGTTTGTATAATGGTTGTATGAGAAAGGTTCATTTAGGAACCTTTTAAGTATTTTTAGGAACCCAACAACCATACTTTTTGTGAGTATTCATAGTATTCATGATAAATAACGTGATAAAATGTTCATCATGAATACTCGCAAATAGGTGGTTTCTGGGTTCTTAAAATAGATCAATCCCGACTTAAAGGTGTTCTGTGGAAAGTGTACCATGGGGCTAAAGGCCTATGAGGGTGTTTACCTACTGATGACCACTGCTGATTTGGTCAGCACAGTTGACTCGGTCGGTATCAGTATATTTACCTAGGGATTGATCTGACTGAAGTTGCTTACCGAGCATCTGCCTGGGTCAGTTTATGTACTTTTACCTAGACAACAATACTTTTACTCTGTTAGCACTTACCCAGTTTGCGTTGGTAAATGGTCGTGATGATATCATAACCATGACACAACTTGAGGGGCCGTTTACTACAATTACCTTGGTAAGCGCTTACCGGTTCAATTACCTTACTGGACGAACATAACAAGAACCGAGAATCTTATCCAGTAAGAGGGAAGGCAAAGATCAATAGTCTTACCCGGTAAGTGAAAGTGATGACTCTTACCCAGTCAACGGTTCCCGGGTTAGAAACACTTACCATCAAAATTCATCTTGATGGAGTAAAATCTTACCCAATAAGATAAGTGATCGTGTTCGAATTTGATAAGTAATCACTATGTGGTTAAAAGGGGTCTCTGAGAAGAGGTCTAGTCATCTGACTGAGGGGGCCTCACCATAACAAACTTATGCATGTGGGTTTCATGGCATTTTTTGGTTCCATATGGTTATTTGTCTTTATATAATGTGGAGAGTGAGATCTTATCTTGACATTGTGAATTTAGATTGATGATGGAACTATCAAGTGACTCACCAACATAAAAAACACAGAGGTATTATTGTATGATGACAGCAGGATATCTTGATTTGTTGTACAACCAAAAACCAGCCAAACTTTTTGTACAGAATTACCATCATTGTCAAACTGCCCATTAACTTCACACAGTTATAGGAAAAAAAGAATCAACAAACAGAATTGTAGCTGAACGTTTGTTTGTATATAGGCTTAATCATTTGAAAACTTCATGTATTGTGATAATCGTGACAACTTTTATCTTAACGGGCGTTTGGTTTGAGGGATTTGGATTTCGTGGAAGGATTTGGAGTTGCAGGAATTTCGATTTGTAAGGACTTGAAAACCTTCTATGATTAAGTTACCTTTTTATTAATCGATTATTAGAAGACAAATGTTTTAACACAATTTAAACATTATTATATAAATCCTACGAAAATTTCTCAAAATCCCAACCATTCGTTGGGATTTCAAAATCCTATGCTTGAGGGATTTCGAAGAATCCTAATCCAATCAATTTTACAAACACGGGATTGGAATTCCAAATCCCCTCAAATCCTTTCCATCCCTACAAATCAAAATTGACGTTTAAGTTATTGTTTCATATGATTTTTTTTCCGCATCTAAGACTAACATTTAATATATTGATGAACATATATTTGTTTCACAATATGTTTGATTCATATGTATGCGGTTCACAATGTGAAATTTTTTTACGTGTAACCTTTGTTTCACAAACATATTAAAAATGTCCACTTTATGAAGCAATTACATGTGAAACAAACACATTAAGAAACAAATATATGTTTGATTGATATTCTAAATCCTAGTATTATATGGAAAAAAATCACATGAAATAACATTTGATGCACTATTTTCTCAATGTTATTACAATTTCATAGGATCTCAAAGAAAGGTATATATAGATATAATATAGGTGGAGGGTTCAAAGAAGAGTACCTTCGTTTTACGAAAACATGAGAACACCTTTATCACATGTGATAATATTGGACGACTTGGCCCACGACATAGATCATGCTAAAGGTTATCTGCGTCTCTGATTTAGTATAACATGTGTATCATATGTGATGGATTATAGTATCACACCGAGAACACCATTATCACATGAAATAATACACATGAGGCCCCCTAGTGGATTGCAGGCGACTTGGCCAGCAACCTAGGTCACACCAAAAGTCATATGTGTCTCTAATTTAGTATCACATGTATCATATGTGATGGACTATAAAAGGGTGTTCTTGCGTTTTCTAAATGAAGGTGTTCTCACGTTTTCTAAATGAAGTTGTTCTCATTTGAACCTTTTCCTATATAATACATATATATATATATATATATATAAATATAAAGAGAGATCAATTCAAATGAGAAATGGTATATGTATGTTGATATATACATATCTTACGTGACTCAACATTGTGGTTACTTCATACTACAATAACATAAGGTGATACTGGTTTTATTTGGTTTGATCTGGTTTCAAGGAGATGTCCTTTATGACCAGCCATAACCATAATCAAGAACATATACAAGGATGAGGGAAAACGGGTAGAGCGAGAAAGCTATGAATGACGTCCATAGAGGAAACGTGGTTCGACAACTGCCGAAAACACCCATCACGATGCAAACGATAAGAATCACCAACACTTCCGATGAGAAATCCCATGTCAATCCTCGCACGTATACAAGTGCTAAGAACACCGATAGGCAGAGCACATTGTTCATCGTTACTGCTCCATATAACTGTGGTGTAGAAACAAACAGTTAAGAAAGATTAGAGCTTTGTATAAGGGATAATCACAAAAAGAGGCAAAACGGAGTCAGGGGAGGACTATTAGATCCCGAGCGCAGTCCCGTGCACCTGCTTGATCTTATTTTTGTAGGGAAATTTTTTGGGTACGAAAGGTGCACCCGCTAAAAGTTGAGGTGCTCCGGAATATTAGAAAATACAACGAATATCAACCTAAATCCAGAAAGTCTCTCGAAGTCGACCAAAAATCCGAAAAAGTCTTTCGAAATCAAGCAAAAAAACCAAAACGACCCTCAAAATCAACAAAAGAAACCTTAAAATTTCATAAAATCAACCAACAAACTTGACAAATTCTTCGAAACGGTGGAATTCGAATAAAAACACAAGTGACTACGGCCTTTGATCCACCTTAAAGATGCCCCGTCCCGTAAAAATCATAGGTCCAACATCGATTGGAGTTGATCTATTACAAATAACCAACTTTTTTCAAACTAGCACTAAAACCCATCTATTTTGCAAAAAATCATGTGAAAACCCCTTTTTCTTTTTCCTCTTGATATCTTTTTAGATTTTTGTGGGACCACTTTGCAAAAAAGTTGAGCAAAATATGCCAAAAAGACGGGTTTTTACAAAACAGGTGGTGGTTATTTTGTGTTAATCCGGAAACAGTTACTCCGTTATCTTTTTTTTTTTTATTAACCTGGATATCCAATCCGTTATGCGAGCTGACTAATCCCAAGGTGACCACTCGCTTCGCGAGGCATTTGAACCTCTGTGGCCGCAAGAGGATTTTTATTCCTCATTGGATTCGAACCTGGGATCTCTAGGCACTTTTGACATTTGGAGCCAAGCTCAAACCAATCGGGCATCGCCCTTGTGGTTCACTTCTGTTATCTTTGTAATCATCCCTTTGTATAATTCATGTATGTCGAGTGAAGTAATCGGTAGCTAGAAAGGTGAACAAACCTCGGAAAATGTCAGAGAAGCGGATCTCTGTTTTTTTCGTGTAGCGAAGATGATAGCCGACACTGCCTCACTGGAGTTTGTTGCTAATGGTAACACGATGAATGAAATAAAGAAAGATGGGATGCTTGTTGCAGCGGAAAAATTATTGACAGCATCTACCAGAGGATCGGCAAATGCAGCCGCGATAGCAGTGCCAAGTAACAACAATAGCACGGCCTTAATGGTGGTCGTACGGGGGTCATCTACACCCTCTTCTTCTTCTTCCTCGTGACTTTGATCGCCCAAAAGGGCATGTTCTTTCTTCGTCTCCTGTAAAAACAATAAATATGCGTAAAATAAACTTGGGTTCGAGTAGAGGAAATAATCTATTTGCAAAAAAGAATAATGGAAAAGTTGTGTAAAAAAGCTCCCTTCAGAACCTTTGGAAAACTGAAAAGTTGTGTAAATAATCTATTAATGTTTTTCTAGTTCAGAATGTTTTCTGTCATGAAAAATCAGAAATATTATGGTCGTTTCGCAAAAAACAGGCTTCTGCAGAAGGTAATCGAGCTAAATAGCCCTGTCCCATCGTCATGATTTTTGTCTGATTCATTCATTCATGTCCTATTTCAATGTTGGACTAAATGTGAAACAACAAGTTTTTATTATGTTCTATCTCGTCCCGTCCTACATACCAAAAAACCCTATCGAACACTTTTTGGGATAGAGGAAATGTTTGCGTACATAATAATAATACCCCTCCAAGACTTTAATTTTGAGTAAGATAAAGTGGGTGCATTAACCCGAGCTTTCGAAGTCCGTTTTCAATGAGCAAAAAAAGAGCTCCCATTTTCAGTCTGGGCTTTTGGGGTTGAAAAAATCCGATCGGGCTTTTTCAGGGTTAGGCTTAGGCTCGGGTCTGCCCCCAAAATTTTGACCTGTTCAGCCTTTGACCCCCTGGGTTTTGGGGTTGAGAAAAGATCTGATTGGGCTCTTTCAAGGTGAGGCCTAGCCCCGAGCTTGCTCCCACCTGATCAAGCTTTGAGCCCTGGCCTGGACCAGACATCAGGCCCACTAGGCCTAGGCTCTCTCCAACCAGGCATGGACTTTTTGTGTATCTCTAATTCTTACTAATGGCCATAAAGAAAGGTAATATTACATTTTGAGGCTGTTATTTATGGCACATATATACATACCTCATAGTAATCATGAACATACTTCAATGAGTCCGAACCAGCAACAGTAGTAGTCCTTTTGAAACCCTTGGCCTCCTGAAGCCATCTTCCAATCCCATTTACAAATTCATCAAACTCAACTTCATTATTTTCAGATGTATCAAAATCTTTCATAACCTTGGTTACAGCATCCTCTTCATTCATGTTTATCTCATATAACTGCATTCCTACAACCAATGCCCTTAGTTCAGGAATCGAAAGACTTCCGTCTTGATTAGCATCAATCGAGTTAAACAGCCTGTCACACAAACCCACAGAAACGTCATAAACACAGACACCATTAACCAAACCAAACAAGCCCAGTATATCCCACCTAAAGGTGGCGTCTGGGGTAATATGTAAACAGACCTGCCCTCTAACCCAATGGGTAGAGTGGCTGTTTTCGATCATGAAGACAAAGGTGGTGCTGAGATTAAAAAGAAAATCACTAACTTGACTAAAACTTCTCTGTTAGGCTCGCCGTTCATATCTACGAGTCTTCCAAGTGCACGCATCTTCAAGAACTTGAGAATCCTAGATCTTACGTGCTTATGCTTTGCGAAATCAAGATGTCTTTTCTGTAATGTTGGTTGATAAACCTGCAAAATCATTGCAGAATGTCTTTAGTTTCTTCACTCCCTAAGTATTTCTAGAATCTTGAAATTTGATTATCCCACACACATTAAAAGGGTTTGTGGCACCAAAGGGTCATTGACCCAATGGCATTTGGGTAACGGGTAAATCACAACAATCAAGGTCACGGGTTCAAGCCTCAGCAAAAGTAATAAGTGTGAGACACTATTTGCTGTATATAAATACATACATAAAAATGTTACCTGATAGAGGCAGTATGCAATTAGAAGAGAAATGGAGAGGATGAGGGCAAGCAAAACTGCAGTGTGTCTTCCAGAAGTTGAATGTAGAATCTGTGGGAACTGAACAACTATAAATGGAAGCACAGATACAGCCATTATCATTGCAGAATAGCTTGTCCAAATATCTGTACTCACACCAGACCCTGCACCATATTACAAACAGATATGATAAACGTTAAATATTAATTGTTTTTCAATTAATCCTTTGTATTTTTGAATTAATTTTTTAATATATCATTTCTAATTATTTTATATTATCATCTAGTTTACCAGCAAGTTTTCATCAAACATATTAGGGTGTGCAGAAAGTCTGATCCAATTAGAACCGACCGACCATAACTGGATCAAATCGGATCCAAAATTTCAACATCCAAATTGGATCGGTTGGTTCTTGGATGGCAGTCCACCATCCAATAAAACCGAACCGATCCAATCCAATTTCCCATCCAATTTCCCATCTAATTAGACTTTCATTCCCAGGATCTCCCCATCTATGTACTCGGGGCCTCCCCGATAGCTGGAAGATGCGCACGACTAAAAAAGAGACTGAGTTGGAAATCCTCTATTTTCAATCTGTAACCAAGACCGAGAAAACAAACCGAAGGGATCGTGGATAAAGTACGGCTGGGAATAACTATATATAATTATTAACATTTTACAATATTTTTTTAGTTGATATTTATGTACATTGTTTTTTAATAACTTAAGAAAATATATGAATAATTGGTTGAAATGATGGATTAATTGGTTGAGTATTAGATTAAAAGATTGGACAAATCCCATCCAATCCAATGGATAACAAATAGGAACATCCAATGGATGGAACCGATCCGATCCGATCATCCATTGGATTTGGATTGGATCGGCTGTCCAATGTTAATTGGATCGAATGACAAAATCCAACATCCAATGGATAATTGGATCGGAACGAATCCACCTAAATTTATTGGATTTCAACCATCAAACACCACTGAAACATATGACCAATTTATTTATTAGTTAAGTTACCAACTATGGTTTCCAAAAGCTAGCTTACCAATTATTTATGTTGAGAAGGGAGTGAGATATATACCCATTAAGTGAAACCCTTTGGTGTCTTTGTTATCTTGAGCAACCGAATTCTGTAGATCACATTTGCCAACAACGATACAAGTTCCCCAAATACTTGTAAGAAGCATGACGGTCGAACCAGCGAGCAACCCCATTCCAACCGAAACCTGATCTTGAGCGGTTTCTATGCTTCCTGATAGTCCAGATACTGCAACCAAAGGTAAGCAGATCACCGTAACCATAACCGTTGTTACCACAATCTCCAGTAATTTCTTTAAAATAAAAAAACAAAATATATATTTCATAAAAGGTCCAGACCAACAATTGCGAAATTTGAGTTTCTATACCCATCGATAATTGGATCGAAACATTATGGAAATAGCAGAGCTAAAGGTGAAATAATCACTTTCTATATAATCAGTGACATTGATTATCGTCCATAACCAGATGAGATAGGAGGATTTCCAGACTATTTTGAAGATCAAAATGGAGGTGAATTCGTTTACCTAGAATGAGCATAGCATCGGGAAGTGCACCAAGAACAGGAAGGCAGAGGCCGCCGACTAAACCTGGCCCTAGAATCTGCAATAACAGCTCACTACCGGCGGAGAGGTGAGTGGCGGCAAGGTACATGAGGTAACCATAGACAATAACGAGGAAGAGGTTTCCGATCGCCGTGGTGGTGCACGGCAGGAATCCGTACGTCTGTTCACATATTTCCGATGATGATGTGATCAGGAAACGTTTGAAGCAGAATATGCTTCCACAACCACAATCAACGCCGTCGGATACCGATGGTGAAGTGGTGGTTATGAAACGGCCGGCAGCGGTGACGACGGCGAAGAAGGAGAGGATAGTGATGACAGCAAGGAGTGAATTTCGGTTAATAGCCATGTAGATGGAGGTAGGAAGGTAGCCGGCCGGACAATTTGATGGTTGGGAGATGTGTAAAGGTCTGATGGTTCACAGATGTATTTATAGGTTGGTTCGTGCGTCTTCCCGCCTCCGGGGGGTTAAAACATGTGCAACAAATTTTTTAATGCTAATAGTTTCTTTAACCGGTAATTTCTCGATCGTTAGGAGATGAATTTTATTTGTTTAAAATGAATCTATCTTTTAATAATATTAAAATTTTTTGAATAATTTTGTATCTTGAATCTCTCTTAACTATTCAGTATCCTAATTTTATTATGAATAATTATCAAATAACTATATTTTATTTTGCACTATATTATAAGAGTCTTTTAATAGTTCTGATCACTTAACCATTTTGGATCAAATCATTCAACAACTTACAAATAGCTTTTAGACATAATTTTTTTATTTTTAATATTTTTTTAAAATCTATTAAAATAAAACAAGTAAGGAAAAGAATGTGAAACACTTTGAAAATGATTATAATGAAATAAATATTATTTAATATATTTCCATTAATAGGAAATTTAAAAATAAATATTTAGATTTTGAAATAATATCTTAATAATATAATCGATATTGTAATCGTTAAAATATTGGAGTTGAATGTATTTTTATTTTAAGAATTATGAAGTTTTATTCTCTAATTTAGAGAAACTAGAAGGGTACTCGTGTAACACGATATGCATTTCGATTTTAGTGTTTCGTTTTATTTTGTCATTTGTCGATGTTATAATATGGTTTGTTGTGGATTTGAGAAAGCGATAATGTTTTTATTTTTTAATAAAATATAAATTTGAAGATATTATAAAATTTTGAAAAAAATATTTCAATATTAGATCAAATTAACTTTCTTAATTTCATTTTTTATAATTTAATTTAGGTATAATAACAAAATAATTTATTATTTAATAATACAATTTTTTATAAAGATAATAATTAAATGTACCTTTAGAACACAATGATTATCCTAATTATATTTTAGATTTTTTATATTTTAAATGAAATGTTTATTATGTATTTGATTATGTTTATCTACAATTACTTACATGAATTCAGACATGAAACTTCAATAAGTTGTACTTATGCATAATTTACTTGTAATTTTAAATTTTAAGTAATATGAATTAATAAACAATATTTCATGTATAAAAAATGATTTTTAAGAATTTTTGTCAAATGGTTTATAATATAGTATAAATATTGAAGAAAATTCTACTCTTATTTAACAATCTTATATAAATTTGAAAATTAATACAAAGCATAAAACAAAGCAAATGTATACCATTTTAGCATAAAATACAAATCGGGTCCATATGATTTGTCATAAACAATACTTTTTGTTCTTACAGTTTTAAAATTACAAGAACCTAAAAAGAGGATAAGGTTTTTATAATAACTTTCCACAATAATAATTCTTATAAGTTTTTATAATAACTTTCCAATAATAATTCTTACAAGTCACTTCATTTTTTGCTAATAAGAACCTTGCATTAAAGATGCTCTAAATCCAAATCTCGCCAATTATAAGTTATTTATTTCACGAAATTCAAATCTCTCAAAACCATTCCATCAAATTAAACGCCTATAGAATCTTAAAAAACAAGGAGGAAATGATTCATGAAAGTTGGTACATCTCCATTTGATTTGGCTTGTAGGGCATTATGTAAATCACAACTTCAAATGGTCAAACCTTTAATATTGGGTGTGATTTAAGTTGGATAACATATCCTAATTTGGATTTTAGGTTTGATTTAGGTTGGATTTGGTTTGAGATTTGTGTTTTAGATATGATTTTTTATTGGGGTTTGATTTAGATCGGAGGACGTTTTGGTTTTAAACCATCAAGTTGGTCCTGATGTATATATATATATATATATATTGTATATAATAAAGGACAAATTGCATGAAAAAAGTAACGTATTTCAACTTGATTCCTATTTTAGGTAATGTACTTTCAAATTTTTTTTTTTTGGTACTTAAGATGTAAAGTTTTAAATATTTGAGTATCCGGGTAACAAATTGAAGCATTAACCGGTTACCATGCTGATGTGGCGAGTGATGTGGTATCCAACTCAGTGTTATTTGCTGACATGGATATCTTAATCTAACCGGGTTAATGCTTCAACGTGTTTAACCAGTTACCCGAGTACTTAAATGTTTAAAACTTTACATATTAGGTACCAAAATGAAAGTTGTTTTATCCAAAATAGGAATCAAGTTAAAATACATTATTTTTTCATGCAATTTACCATACAATAAATAGGGTTGGGTTCCAGCTAGAGTGTGAAGGGACGTTATGGTGAGAAGCGTAAGAAGAAATTTCCAAACTCCACGTCAACACTAATGAGATGCACCAGATCAATTCTCTTCTAAAGCGCAATTTATGAGTGGACATTCAATTAAAAGTAATAATGATTCAGATCTTTTCTTACGCTTCTCACTAATCACTACAACTTTCCTTTTCACACGATTCTTCGCTTTTCAAAATATTAGTAATCATTTTGTGAGTCATAATATTTATTGTAAATAAAAAAACCTGTCCAAATTAAATATATGTATCACAATAAACTAAAATTTATCAGAATATGAACTTATAAAAAGAAGGTATCTTCATTGGTTGGACTTTTGTGAGATATAAAATCTTAAATTTGAGGGAATTATGTTTGCAACGCCCAAAATCCAAAACAGGGCATAACTTATTTTATTTTATTAAACTTCAATATCAACATTAATAAGCCACAAACACGAATCTACAGAAAAATAGATGATTTTTTAGAGCATTTTTAATCATTTTTCTAAAATAGAATTTTTTTCTTCTAAAATATTCCAACATATTTTCTATTTTATTCTTTAAAATAGAAAATTATGGAAAAACTCTAAATATAAAGAATTTTCTAGAACTTAATGTTGGAAGAGAGAAATGATTATTTTATTCAATTCCACAAATGAGATTGAGCTGTTATTATTTGGGCAAATCGCATGAAAAAATAATGTACTTTAACTAAATTCATATTTTGGGTAACATACTTTAAAAATCTTCATTTTGGTACATAAGATGTAAAATTTTAAACATTTAAATACCGGGGTAACCAGTTACCATGTTGATGTAACAAGTGATGTGGTATCCGATTAATGCTTCAGCAAATACTATTGAGTTGGATACCACATAACTACCTACATCAGCATTAATACAATAAAATCTATTTTTCATTTCATATCTCGTTTTTTTAAGTCAGATATCAAATTGAACATTTTTAAAAAAATCCAAATTATCACAATAAAAATTGTTTTTTACTAATGCAAAAAAAATCAATTTAATAGAAAAAAATTAATTGATGCAATAAAAAATAAATATTAAATATCACATTCAAGATTTTTACATCTAACCAATTGCATCAATTAATTTTTTTCTATTAAATTGATTTTTTTTTGCATTAGTAAAAAACAAATTTTATTGTGGTAGTTTGGATTTTTTTTAAAAATGTTCAATTTGATATCTGAATTAAAAAAAACGAAATTTGAAATGAAAAATAAATTTTATTGCATTAATTTTTGGAAAAAAACGAATTTTAGTTATTTTTTTATAATTATTTTGCAAGTTGGTTTCTCAAAATAGGAATCAGGTGCAATTTGGTTCTCCAAAATAGGAATCAGGTGCAAGTTGGTTCCCCAAAATGACGATTTTGAAAGTTGGTTCCCCAAAATAAGAATCGTTTGCAAGTTGGTTCCCCAAAATGACGATTTTGAAAGTTGGTTTCCTAAAATAGGAATTAGGTGATAGTTGGTTCCATTTTGATGCAATTTTCGCTTCTTTAAAATGACAAATTTTTGAAAGGTTATGTAAAATAAAAAAGTTTTTTACGACAAGTTCTATGTATTTTCAAAAAAAAAATATTGTTTTTATTTTTATCTAAGTTTGTAGACACATCTAGTGTTTGTTTATGTAAAGATAAACATAGGGGCCGTCTATCAAACGTTCATCAGGTAAACATTTACTATAAAGATCACCACTATCACTTATTTTATCGGATTACGTCCGGCCATCAAAACAAATTGTTACTAAGCAATTTTTTACCCGATAAGCACTCACCAGGTAAGAGTCTTCTCCCTTTTGATGTTCTCATCCAAGTCCAACATTCATATATATTTGTTTCATTTTAGAATATATAGGAACCCGTTAGTAAAATTCCTGACTCCATCTCTGCTTACCAAGTAAGATTCTTGGTTCTTGCTATGCCTATTACTGGTTAAGATTCTAGGTCTTTTCAATGCTCATATGAAAAGTATGACACCCGATAAGTATTTGGTAAATGGCCCTATAGATATTTTGTTTAGCTCTATGTTTTATCGTATTGTCTTATGTACAATAGTTTATAGAAAAAACGCATCTCTTAAAGGGTCTTTTCAACATTTGTTTTTAAGCTCCTCTAGATGCCTTATTTTCTAAACCATACTTTTAAGTGAAATATATTATGCGCATTTGTATTAATTTACTTGTAAAAGAGAAACAAACAGAAAATAGGATTATATTCCATAATGAAATCAGTAGAGAGAGATACATGAGAGCTAATTTGTGCACAAACTAGGAAAGATCTAGAATAATCTATGACAACAGATGTGTTAGAAGGGAGCTGATTCTATGTGTTGCAGCTCATACTCATATGGTGGATCGTGTGACTACTAGTATGATGATAACATCATTATCAGACATAATTTTGGCTAAAATTACTTGCTTATCAAAATAACTACAAATACCCGATCTGAGTCCGTATGACCCGATGGTTGCATCTATGACCAACCGAGAATATAGTCGAGAATGTATACGAGAATCAGGGAGAACGGGTAGAGTACGAATGCAATGAAAGATGTCCAAAGAGGGAACGTGGTTCTCAAACTAGCAAAAACACCCATCACAATGCAAACAATCACGATAACAAGCACTTCAGACGTAAAATCCCATGTCAATCCTCGCATGTAAACGAGTGCCAAGAACACTGATAGGCAAAGTAGATTATTCATCGTTGCCGCCCCATATAACTAAAACATAGACACAAATAACCATTAAGATTTATGACAAACGATCGTGTGAGAATAGGAGTTAAAGCTAGAAGCGTAAGAAGGGATCTGGATCCGTGATCACTTTTAATCTCACCCCACTCCATGAATTGCGCTTCTCATGGGAATTGATCCGGAGCATTTCATTAGTGTTGATCTTCAATTAGGATTGATCCACGGGTGGAGATCTCTTCTTACTCTTCTCACCGTAACTTCTATTCTCACCAAAACCCAACCCTAAAATTCATTTAGCTACGTCATAATGCACCATTTTTATTTTGTGGGTCTTATGGTCGGTCATACATGGTACACCAACAAAGAGAGAATATGTGGAATCCCATCAGATTAATCTTCAAAAGAGTCGTTGAGGAGATAAGAGAGATTCCAACATATATCAAGGAGAAATGGTCCAAGTCTAGCTGATGTAGGATTCTATCACGCCCCTTCTAGCGGATGCTAGATGGACACAAATTATCTCACAAAGTCAGACGAGTACAAATTGCCTCAAGAGTGTCGAGTTTATAGAGTGGTAGACTTTGGCTCTAATAACATATGAGAATATGTGGAACCCCATTTACATCTCTCTCCAAAAAAAACCGTTGAGGAGAGAAGGGAGAGTCCAAACATATATTGAGAAAAAATAGTCCAAGTCTAGCCAACGTGAGACTCTAATGGTCACGAAAGCTTGTAGAAGACGGTCGTTTTGATGGTTAAAAAGATGGTTTTTTCTTGTCCGAACAATTTATGTCCAAGTACAACTTAACTTTAATTAAATTCCTAGCAATTACTATGTGCAAATTGGGAACTACTTGCATGATGTGTTTTCAAATTTCGGTTTTGTGCAATTTACTATTTGTAAACGAATTTTGATCCTAAAACAATAAGCAAGAAAATAGAAGAAAGAGACGACGAACCTCTGAAAAAGTTAGAGAGGCGGATCTTTGCTTTTTGCGGGAAGCAAATATGATCGCTGACACAGATTCACTGGAGTTGGTTGCTAATGGCAACACGATGAACGAGATGAAGAAAGACGGGATACTTGTAGCAGCAGAGAAATCACCAACAGCATCTACCAGAGGATCAGCAAATATAGCAGCAATAATTGTGCCCAGTAACAAAAATAGCCCAGCCTTTATCGTGGTCCAACGAGGATCGTCTACAATATGCCCTTCATCATCATCACCACCTTCATCTCCCAAAAGGTAGTGTTCTCTCTTTGTTTCCTGCAAATGCATACTCTTGGTTTCAAAATGCTTTAACCTATAGAAACACCACAAATATATGTAATATATTCTTGGTAAGGATGCTTAGTTTCTGTTTTGGAACTCCGTTAAATTACTCTCCAAAAGAGCCGTTCAAGGAGAGAAGGGAGGTTCCAGCACATTGTGGAGAAATCATGGTCCAAGTCTAGCAACGTGGGACTCTTAACACCCCCCTCCTCCAACAGAGCCTAGATGGGCACAGATTGCTCCAAAGTGTCCAGAAGGGGCTAACGGGTGAGAGCTAGACAAGTATAGATTGCCCTTGATACCATGTGAGATTGTGTGAAACCCCATTAGATTACCCTCAACGATGTGGGATTCTAACACACCAGCCTCAAATGGAGGCTGACGGGAACAAATTGCTCCAAAGTGTCAAGATGGGGCTAGACGGGTGAGAGGGCTAGACGAGTATAAATTGCCCCAGTGTCGAGTCCTATAGTGGTAGACCTTTGCTCGAATACCATGTGAGAATATGTGGAACCCCATTAGATTACTATCCAAAAGAGCTGTTTGAAGAGAGAAGGGAGGTTCCAACATATATAAGGAGAAATGGTCAGTCTAGCCGATGTGGATCCAAATCCATCATTAAAAACTGGAAATATCATTGAGAGCATGCTTAATCATCATGAGTAATGACAATAGAAACATACCTCATAATAGTCATGAATATACTTCGTTGTGTCAGGACCGGCAACGGCAGAATCTGTTTTGGTACTTCTGGCTTCCTCAAGCCATTGCGAAATTCCAGTTACAAACTCTTCAAAGTCTATTTCATCGTCTCCGGATGTGTCAAAATCTCTTATGAGCTTAAGAACAGCATCATCTTCATTTAAGTTAATATCATTTAATTGCATCCCTACAACTAGTGCTTGTAGTTCGGAATGTGAAAGGTGTTGATCCCCATTTACGTCAACGGAGTTAAATAGCCTGCCACAGATTCCTGTAAACTGTTATTTACTTGGAATGATGTACCACAGAAGAAATAGTAGTACCCAATGGGTCATTGGCCCAACGGTATCTGGGTTACCGGTAGATATCAACCTTCTTGGAGGTCAAGGGTTCAATAGGTGAGGAGTAGGTGTGAGTTTTGCCAGATATAAATATTATATATATATATACATATATATAGTACTAATAGAACTCACTTGTACAGAACTTCACGATTAGGTCGGCCCTGATCATCCAAGAGTCCTCCAAATGCGTTCATTTTCATGTACCTAAGAATTCTAGACCTTACATGCTTATGCTTTGCAAAAGCAAGGCGTCTCTTCTGTATTTTAGGCTGATACACCTGCAAAGGATTCTCAAAGAAAGTCAACTAACCATGGAAAAGAGAGTTGATATCCAAATATAAATAGCCAGAATAGTCACATTTAGAAGAACTAAATTTCCTTGAGCAAAAAGCCAAAAGTCATTCATGTATGTTCAAAACTTTATATAATAAGCCAATTGCTTTTAGTTCTATACGTACAAATATAAATGTCCAAAATAGATAAGACGAGCATGCACATAATCCAGACAGAAAAAAGGGAAGGATGTATTTGAAATGGTACTAGGAAATAAGAAGAAGAATGGCACAAGGTTTGAGATCATCCCTTCATACCATAACGTCACCTCAACTAAACGTCATATATTCAATAATGATTCTGTCATCATTTTTTCTAAAACTTCACTTGGTTTTATATTTTGTTCCCAAGAGACGAGCTTCGGTGTAATGCCATGTTTGGCAACCATAAGCTAGCTCAACTGGAAAATAAAGTCTCGGCCTTGGGACTCTTCCCCATAGGTCTCAGGGCCCTAGGCTCTCCTGGTTGTTATCTTCAGGGTCCCATGGGATTAGTCAAGATGCATGCAAGATGCCCGAAAACCAACAATTAAAAAAAGTTCCCCTGGGTTTGCATTAACTTTTACATGTCTACTGTTGTTGTGATAGGCTTCATTACCAAGAAATAGATAACACCACCTGTCTTGAGTGTGATTTCTTTGATATATATGGCCATGCCCAAGGGCATACAGGCTGAAGTAGATTCTTCTATTTTTATCAATCAGAACCCCTTCCTATTATGAACTATAGCAATTCTATCTGCTAACATCATTGATATCACCAACTAAAGAGAACAATATAAGAACCTCTAGTCTTGACAAATAAAGAACCTGTGTAGTAGATTGATTGATATATACCTGATAAATGCAGTATGCAATTAGAAGTGATATGGACATTATAAGACCAATTAACACTGTCAAGTGTCTTCCAGAAGTTGAATGGAGGATTTGTGGGAATTGGACAACTAGAAAAGGGAGCACAGATGCAGCCATTATCATTGCAGAATAGCTTGTCCAAATATCAGTACTGACACCAGAGCCTGCAGTAGAACAGATGCAATGTTAGTGAATTCATGTACTTGTGCTAAACAGAAACTCATAATCACACTTCTAAACTTTCTCCAATTATTTTTATTATTCACTGGTGTGGCACCCTTCATCCCAAGGGGCCAACCCTCAATATATTCAGCTAAGAACGGAACTTTAAGACCTTTTCTTGCAAAATTTGACCACAACTTGCGAAAGTAGACAATTTAATTTGTGCATTTGCTACTAGATGAATCTCTACTGAGAATACAGGTACTCCAAATACTTTAACAAATACCAACTGATAATGACATATTTATAAATTGATGCTACAAACAATTGACAGCTTCATGTTTTCAAGCTCATATCGAACTCCATTCTTTTTCATCATATTGCCACAAGAAGCAGACTAGATAGAAAAAAGAACACAAAAAAAATCCTCGAATTACCAATAAATACACAAGTCTCACAAAAAAAGAGGCAAAATTGCAGTAAATGCTTGTGTTTATTAATCTCCCTGTCTTTCTTTTACAAGGCTGCAAGTGTGGAGGGTAAAAGTGACACAAGGCTGCAAGTGTGGAGGGTAAAAGTGACACAAGGCTGCAAGTGTGAAAGGTAAAAGTGACTGGCTACTGAGAACTGAGAGAGAGAAAAGGGATTTGATCCTGGAACATCCTGAAATACAAGGATATAAGTGAAGGAGCGGATGAAGTATCCAAATGGGCAGAACAGCATCCAGCTTGTGAGGCATATTGCCTTCAAGCATTCAGGTAATGATTCTTATCTTGGATAATTATTGAAACAAGTAACAATCTAGAATCATTGACAGAAAGAATCAAATGACCCTGTTGGTACATTCGAGCGATTAGACCTTAAGAAATACTGAGACCTGCATCTTTCAACATCCATGCCTAAAAAGTTGATTATCATCTTTCGTCTTTTCATTTCTCAGGTGTCAAAGATGGTAGAGGAGGTATTACTGTAACGTTACACAAACCAAAAATCCACTATCAAAGATAGAGCCCCCACCATTGCAGGGTCCAAGAATGGTCAATGTACAGAGTTATAAATGTGTGTGCACGTTTGTCTGTGCATTCAGAGAAAGTGCACAGAGATTACATCAATAACAGTTTCCCCTTCTTGAATGTTTTAATTGCCAGAGACAAGGAACAGAAATAAATTTGTGTACTTATGTGTGACAGGAGGTGGGACATACCTGACAAGTTGAATCTTTTCGTATCTTGGTTATCTAGAGCAATTGAGTTCTGTAAATCGCATTTGCCCACTATTATACAGGTCCCCCATATAACAGTTAAAAGCATGACTGTCGAACCAGCCAACAATCCCATGCCAACAGAAACTTGCTCTTGAGCCGTTTCAGGGCTTCCAGAAAGTCCAGATACTATAAGAGGTAGATCATACGAAACATTACAATCAACAATGAAGTATATGTCTAGCAGCATGGAAGATAACATGACAAAGAAACCAGCTCAACCGGCAAAAAAGGCTAGGCTTTGGCGCTCCTCCAAGAAGTCACCGGTTCGAATCTCCACACGTCCGCTAGAGATTTCTCTGACTGTTATCTTCACATGGATCAGTGGAGGTGAGCGCAAGCCGTTGGTTACACAAAAAAAACATGACAAAGACATGGGAATTTTTCCAGACTATTTGTTAAAAACTCTTAATTTTGTGAGAGTAGATAATTTAAAAATTAAGTATAAATCATTAATACATACAAATCCTTCAATTTCTATACTAACCTTACTTTTTTTTTTTTAAATGTTAACTGTACTATCCTTCCCAGATATAAGGTCAATCAACTAAATACACAACAAAATGGAGATTTTTGGAAAATTTATCTCATAATTAAATCATTTTCAAATAACAAAAAATCATAAAAAATAAATTTAAAACTATTAAATTTTCAGTTTACAATTAAATTATGTATTCTGCTCCATGCCATGCCTCCATATATTCATAAATAAAGCAAGACGAAATGTTATTTGAATATTATAAGATAAAGAAAAATAATCATATCAAACAGAATGAAATATATATAAAAAATGACATGCACAAATAACGAATTAAACAAGAAATATAAAGCAAAAGGAAAAAAGTGAATAACAAAACCCAACAAGGTTAAAAAAGCTAAATAATTAGTTGTCGATTAGGACAACAGAGTATCACGACCTTTTCAGAAACTTCTCAACTAACGGCTATGGCAGTTAATTCGTCAATTCACTAAAAAAAAAAAAAAAACATTAGTTTTTTTCGGTGCTTTTGATCTAACGCAATCTAACATAGTAAAATAATTGAATTATGTAAATGAATCAGCTAATTTGAGTATTGATCTGCAGGACTAATACAAATTAGACGCCTCCACTGTAATTCAGGAAACTCAGACGAAACAAAACCGAGAAGAATTCGAGAAGATTCGGCAATATAAGGTTTGCGTTTTGTACCGAGAATGAGCAAAGCGTCTGGAAGAGCACCGAGAATAGGAAGGAAGAGACCGCCAACGATGCCTGGACCTAAAATCTCCAACAACAGCTCACTTCCGGAGGACAGGTAAGTAGCGGCTAGGAACATGAGGTACCCGTAGACGAGGATGAGGAAGAGGCTGCCAAATACAGAGGTGGTACAAGGCATGAATCCATAGGTCTGCTCACAGAATCCTGATTCGTCCGTTGATGATGACAATGAGAGGAGCGGATTACGACTGAATACACCTCCGTAACCGCCATGAACACCGTCATACACGAGATTGGTGGATGAATTGGTGGTAGTGGTGATGAGACGGCCGGCGACAGCGACAGTGATAGACGTGAAGACGGTGATTAGGATAAGAAGATTGTGAGCCATGTCACTCGTAACGGTTTAGTGTGTGTTTTCGTGCTTTATACCGAACTTGATCCATGGTGTTGAGAACGTGTTGCAAGCGCGTAAAGATAGAAATTGATTTTGAGAAGACGATTGAAGAATCGTTTTTTTAAAGGAAATATATGGCCCACCAACTTCCACTTTATGGCCCACCAATTTGGCACATAGAATCTTTAAAATACGATAACTCCGAGCAATACGTAAAACATGTGGTAATTTTGGGATTACTTAGTTTACATAACGGGTTGATATCCAGATTAATAAAAAAAAGTAAACTATAAATTTGGTGTGGTGGTTTTAATTTTTACGGTTTCAAAGTTACAAGATAGTTACTATGGTTTGTAAAAACATCTGTAGTTGATCTATCTCTCTAATAGTCGTTAAAAAAATTCCATTAAATGAGGGGTATTTTTGTCATTTTATTATTTTTTTGTTCTTTTACCAAATTAAAATCAATTCTATGATTTTTGGTGTCTGTGACTTTTATTGGGTAAACGACAAAAAATCAATAATAGGTCGAAAATGCCGCTTATTTAATGAAATTTGTTAACGACGAGTATCTCCAATGGAGCTTCTTATAAGGACCTACTTTTTGTTCCATGTCACTTTCAAATCATCAAATTTACTCATAGAAAAGTCTTGCAAGGTAGTTTTTATAAGAACTTTTTGCAGGTCTAATTTCTTCAACATCAATAAATGTCAGATATTTAATTTAAAACATATAAAAATACTTGCAAATTGTCACTCCACACCAACTTCAAGGTAAGAAATAAGGTTCTTGTATAAGAACTCAAGTAGGTTGAGATTTTTATAAGAACTTTCCACAGTGTTGGTTCTTGTAAGAAGTTACACTTTTTATATATAAATTTTTTGCATTGAAGATGTTTTTGCTAGGAAGGACTAAATTTGAACATTTTACAAATCATAATGATTATCTTATAATCTTAAAAGTGTAAAAGATCAAAAGTGTCTGGAGGTCTCAGCTTCGAATCCAAAGAGGAATAAAAATCCCCTTGTGGCCAAGGAGGTTCAAATGCGGTGACTCCAGGCTAATAATGGCCAAAAACCGGTCCCGGGATAGAACAGTGATGCTCATAATCAGTCCCAGTCCTGTTGAAAATACTAAGACCCGGTTGAGGGTACTTGTAACCAGTCCCAGGTCGGACCCAAACCGGTCCTATTATTAAAAAAACATGTTCTTTTTATATTCTTCTTAAAAAAATTTGATAAATTTTAAAAAATACTTAATGTTATTCTAGTACACTTTAAAATATCTAATTAGGTCAATCAAATACATCTTATTGTAGTTTTATAATTGATTTTCAAACAAATACACCTAAAATTACGTTTTATAATTGGTTTTCATTCAATTACACTTAAAAATATGTTTTATTGTAAATTTGTAATTTGATTTTCAATCAAATACATTTAGAAAACTAAAAATATATTTTTTGAAAAAATTGGGCCGTTCTTGGGCCGGGCCAGTGCGGACCTTGTTTTTGGATGAAAACCATAACCGAACCTTAACCGGCAATACCAAACTGGTCCCAATCGGTCTCAGGCCGGGCTAGTCCTAAGTCGGTCCCGGTCCCGGTCATCCGTTGGTCCCGGGTTGGGCCCATTTGGCCATCTCTATAATCCGGACTATCCACAAAACGAGTGGTCGTCTTAAGATTAATCGACTCGTATAACAAGTTAGATATCCAGGTTAATAGAATAAGTGTAAAAGATAAAAGAATTGTTATTTTGAACAAAACTAGAGAGACCAATTTGTAGTTGACCCTAAAAAGATATAAAGTCAACATTAATATATATATATATATATATATATATATATATATATATATATATCAACTTGTAGAAGACGCATGTGTGGCCTGCCATTGAAGTTGTGCCCGCCATGTAGACAAGATAAGAAGGATACCAACTCTCAACGCCCTCGCCGGATGTTGATATTTCAAAAGAAATGTTTTTATTCTTAAAAATAAAATTCAATATTCAAAATATCATTTTCATATTATATATATATATATATATATATATATATATATTGAAGTTGTTTCGTTTATAAAACCAACAATTAATACAAATTATATAAATTTATCTTAACTGTTCATCTAGTATAATAAAAATTCGATTAATTAATATCTCGATTGTCTCCTAATATAAAATGTTGATCATAATAAATGAACTCTGGCAATCTTACATAAATACATGATATATAAATTCTCGACAATTTTATAAATATTTTAATTAATTGGTTTGTATGGTTTGCACTAATAGTTGAGTTTGTAAATGAAACCACCTATATATATATAATTTCTCAACACATTCTTACTAATTTGCCCCCATTTATTATATATTTAGTAACCTATTAGCCATGAACCAATATAGAATCCTATTGGACCATTTTGGTTTGTATAGTTAACACAAAAAACAAGGTTAACAAAAGACGACAGCCATATATATATATATATATATATATATATAAACATAGATGTATCATGTATGTTCATCTACAAATTTGATAAATCGTACAAACTTACAAACTAATACTCAGTTTTATTTTACATATGTAAAAACACACATGATTGGTCTTGTGTGGAAAAAATAGTGTTGAACGTTTCACATATGAAACAACATTTTATAAACACTGCATTTTCACACGTGTAGAAATAATACTTAAAACCGGTTTATAAATTTGTATGAATTATTAAGCTGATAAAAAAGTGAGACATCTTAATTCTTCAGAAACTACATATATATGACCATGTTTTAAGACCTTGACATCATCGTCATTAGATTTTCTGTTTGATTTAAGTTCTCGAGTGTAAAACTACAGATGTCTTTATCGAATCCGCATGTTACAGATGTTGAGTTGGTTTTGAATGTTAATACTCAGATCAACTTGTATACATTTGAATGTATGCAATTATTGAGGCAGATTAATTTACATTATTCAGATATTCCACTGACGTCTCTAGGTCGTACCGAATATATCAGTGTAGGTGGGGAGGAGAGTTGGTTTGAACATGCATTATTGCATTATTTTTTATGCTACGTATTAATTTAATTCGGTAGTTGTTATTGTTTAAACCATACATTTGTGATTAGATAAATCAAAAAGTATCTAAATAATGTTGAATATTGAATGTTTTATGAAACATCAACTACACGATGCGATGCAAGACTGAATGACTGATCTTTTAATTTAGTTTCAGTCAGCGACATACCCGTGTTTTTTACTGAGTGGATGTACGTTTAACGTGATGTAAAGTCGTGGGTTGATTTTGTGGACAAGTCAATGCCGTTGGACTTGAGGGAAAAGTCAGTTGTGTCGATTTGGGAAATAAAATTAAATATAGACCTTTTGAGCAAGACAGAAGAGTACGTCTTATGCGTGACATGGATGTGTTTTAGCCAAATTCCATAGTTTGCAGGTTTTTTGGTTGATTTTGAGAGAAGTTAAAATATGGAGTAAATTGCCGGATTTGGTCCCTAAGGTATGTTAATTATTATAGATTGGGACATTTATCTTCATTTATTACAAAAGAGACCTCCATGTAGGCTTTTTTTTGGATTTGGCCCCTGAGGCAAAATGTTTTTTTATGGATTTGATCATTCACACTAACGGCCGTCCAACTTATTCGTTAACTATAAGGGTAAATTCGTCTTTTTGTTTTTTTTTTCTTTTTTTTTTTACCATTTTTTTCATATCACATGGACCAAATATATAATTTACCATTAGCTAACCTCTATTAGCAAACCTCCATCAACAAATCAAACCTAAATCTAAACCCTAAGATGACGATGTAAATCCAAATAAATCGAGTCTTTGGGGTTTGATGACTAGAGGGAGGAGAAGATGGCATAAAGACCATCATCGATCAAATACATCGACGACCATTTGGAACTCCATAGTGGACGAAACCCATTGACCAAGAAGCCTTCGGCTCAATTCGTTTCAAATGCAACTCACCATATTTGTACAACCAATGCAACCCAATAAATTGAGATGTTTATGGAAATGATGAGTGTTCATTTATTATGATTTGAATATTTATGGAATATGACTAAGGTTCATTCATTATGATCAATACTTTTTATTATGAAATCACATATTCATCAAATTAAATGGACGATTGAGATTGAGTTGTATTGGTTATACAAATGTATTAAATGGACGGTTGAGATTGAGTTGTATTGGTTATACAAATATAAAAGATTGTATAATAACCAACCTCTATATATCTATATATATCAATCATGTGGTTGGAATTATTATCATCATCATTAATTAATTAGATGTATTATTTAATTTCCGTTTTAATTTAGAATTAAAGTCAAATGTTATAGAGAGTTTGTTTCAAATACAACCCGTCGCATTGGTACAACCAATGCAACTCAATAAATTGAGATATTTATGAAAATGATGAGAGTTCATTTATTATGATTTGAATATTTATGAAAAATGAATATGGCTTATTAATTATGATCAATACTTTATATTAGAAAACAATCAAAATTTCTATAAAATCACATATTAATCAAATGAAATTGACGATTGAGATTGAGTTGTATTGTTTGCACAAATGACAAGGGTTGTATAATAACCAACCTCTCTCTCTCTCTCTCTCTCTCTCTCTATATATATATATATATATATATATATATATAGTTGTGAGTTGTGAAGGACTTTTGTAGCATGTTTCTTGCAAGCTACGTACCTCCATCACCATTCTTAAGGGTTGACAATTACGTTCTCATATATAAACTTCATCAATTAAGCACAGTGGCTTCTTTTATAATTAAGTACATTATTACCCTATAACCTCGATTCACATGTGCATCTTCAAATCCATTTTTTAATGATTCACATATGAATCTTTCTTTAACCTTTCATTCTTTCTTATGATATTCAGCTTTCTTATTTAAATCAACTCCGTATGAACCCGATTCTCTCTCTAAGTGTATATATATATATATATATTCAGTTCGTTTGAGATCAAACTGGTTTAGATCGATTTGGTTTTCAGTCGTATTATGTGTTTATTTTTTGGGTTTTATCCGGTTCAATTCGGTTCTAACCCGATGCAACTAGTGGCTTGTGATGCCCATAGAACTGTAAAACCGAGCCAAGACCATATTGAACCGAGTCGGAACAAATATAATTGGTCAAGTACTTGGTTTTAACTATAACAACAAGTGAATTATACGTATTTTAGCGTTAAAATTTATTAAAAACAATAACGAAGATCAACGACAACGGATAGAGTAGGTACGCTATGAACGATGTCCAAATCGGGTACTTCAATCTAAAGCTAGCTGCTGCACCCATGATGCTACAAACTATCAACACGACCGACACTTCAGCGGAGAAATCCCATGTCAAGCCTCGAAAATATATGACCGCCAAGAGAACGGAAAATCCAAGAACGTTATTCATAAACACTCCGTCGTATAACTGCATATAATATACGTACATAACATTTATATCGCTTATATATCGTAGAGTTTCACCCGAAAATGCATTGCCAATACTGCCACGCTCAGCGGAAGCTCAAAACAAACTAAACATACTCGGTATATATATCCCACCAGAGCACTACAATAAAATCGGGTTTATAGGACGCTCCCAATTTCTAAGCGTACTTAGTTTATAGGACCAAAAAAATAAAGTGTCCTATCTAAAGGCGTTGTATTAAGTTTATATGACGTCGTAATAAGTTTTTTAGGACACTTTTAATATAAAGCGGCTCATTAGCAACTTTACATGACACTATTTGAAAAACTATCATATAAAAACAAGTGTTCTATAAAAAATTGAGTTTATAGGACACTTTCTCAAAAGTGTCCTGTAAAGTTGCTAATTACGCTTTGTATTAAAAATGTCCTAAAAAACTTGTTAAAATGCCCAAAAGCGTCATATAAGCTTATTATAACGCTTTATATTTTGGTCCTATAAATTAAGTCCAATAAAACGGTCTATTGGGACGCTTAGAGATCGGGGACGTCCTACAAACCCAATTTTGTTGTAGTGCACCATCATTCAATAGTATTAATAAAAGAGGAGAATTGGCAAAGAACAAACCTCGGAGAATGTCAAGGAAATCGTTCGTTCGTTCCTTTGATTTACAGTTTGTATGGCTGAAATTGCTGCTCGAGCATTCGTGGCCACGGGAACAAGGATAAACGATACGAAGAACGATGGTAGGTTTGCAGCGACGGAGATGTTTTGAACACTATGTATCAGCGGTTCAGCTAGAAGTGCTAACATGGCTATGCCAAGAATCAGCAGCATTAGAGCCTTTGTCCATGCCCAGCCAGATCTGTCTACACCATCATCTGTCCATAGTTCCCATGGTTTCTGTGTGCATTTTGAATCTTTGGGTCAGATCTAAGTTTTTTTTAGGACACACTACAACAAAATCGGTTTATAGGACGCTCTCAATTTCTAAGCGTCCTAATAGACCTCTTTATATGACTTTGTTTATAGAACCAAAAAATAAAATGTCATATCTAAAGGCGTTGTAATAAGTTTATATGACGTTTTTTGACGTCTTAATAAGTTTCTTAGGACACTTTTAATATAAAGCGTCTCATTAGCAATTTTATAGGACACTTGTTTTATAGGACAATTTTTCAAATAGTGTCCTATAAAGTTGCTAATGAGACATTTTATATTAAAAGTGTCCTAAAAAACTTATTACGACGAAAAAGTCATATAAACTTATTACAACGCCTTTAGATAAGACACTTTATTTTTTGGTCCTATAAACAAAGTCATATAAAGAGGTCTATTAGGACCCTTAGAGATTGGGGGCGTCCTATAAACCAGATTTTGTTGTAGTGTGTCATAATAAAATACTTTATAGAACTTAGGTGTATAGGATCAACTATAAAACATCTAATCTAAAAGCGTTAATAGGTTTATAGGATGCTTTTAAGCATTTTAACAAGTTTTTTAGTACGTTTTAAGATAAAGTGTCATATTAGCTATTTTGTAGGACCCTTTTGATAAATGTCCTATAAACCCATCTTTTTTATAGGACAATTTTTCAAATAACATCGTATAAAATAGTTAATACAACACTTTATTTTAAAAGCGTCTTAAAAAACTTGTTAAAGCGCCTAAAAGCGTCTTATAACATATTGTAACACTTTTAGATATGACACATTTTGGTTTGGTCCTATAAACTTAAATCCTATAAAGAATTTTTTAGGACGCTTCTACATTTTTAGGCGTCCTATAAAATCAATTTTTTCGCCTTAAAACAAAATCGGATTTATAGGACGCCACAAATATCTGAGTGTCTTAACAGACTACTTTTTAGGACTTAGGTTTATAGGACCAATTCGATTCCAAGTATGGGTCGGATTCCTAAAAGAGTCATTTTTGTTGTAGTGAACGTGTTTGTTATAAAGACTAATGTAGCAATTGTGTCGAAGAAACAAAAGCTTCGGTATGACTTTACGTACTTGGGATGCATCAGGCGACATGGGAACGATTTCGTCATTAGATGTGTTGAGCCGATTCTTAAATCCATTTATGAACTCGTGTTCATCGATTTGTTGATCTCCACTTGTGTCGAGATCTTGCATTAGTTGAGCCGTTGCTTCATCTACGTCCTCCGGTGTCCTCTCGGAGTAGACTTCCATGATCAACCTCTTCAATTCAGATTGCGATATAAAATTATCGTGATCAAGATCAATTCTTTCAAACAACCTGAAATTGCCCACAAAATCAGCAAGATAACATTGGTTCATTTTATGTAATTGGGTTCACAAGAGAACATGGAGTTGATAGTTAAGCTATATCAAGGGGGCCACGCCCCCGTAGTCCAAAAGGCAGCGCCCCTAGCGAAACCGGAGTTTATGAAGAGAAGTGCTTGGGGAAAATGAGTTTCTTGATGTTCTAAGTGACATTCAGAAGCCTCTAAGTTCCCATTCACACGTCTTGCCAGTTTGTTAGAAGCTTAATGAACTTAATAGAACTCACAACTTATCAAGTCAGCTATACATGACCATTTGACAATGACTTAATTATATAGAAAATGACTTATTCAATAAGCTTCTAAGGGGGAACTTTATGCAGAAAGCCAATTTTTTTTTTCCAAACCCACCCCTCCCAATTAAAAACATGTTCCTTCCATCTATGAAAAAACTTCACCGAACAAAAACCTTTATAATCCATATAGATTAACCCACACAGTGACACAGACAACCAGGACTTAATGGAAAACCAACCAAACAGCCCCGAGTCTTGTTCAAAAGAGTCTGATTTTGATTTTAAAGGGCTTCTGATCCGTGTGCAATTTTCGAGATTCCTCCAACAGGATATACGCAAACTTTACCTCTTATACGAATACTGTTTCAGCCATCAAAATTAAGACGAAAAGCCAAAACTAGTTTCTCACCTTTTCATTGCTGAAATATCCGGTGTTCCATCTTCATTGTAGAACTTCTCTAACGAAAAGCTTTCGACATGTCGAATAATTTTGGATACCATAATCTTCATCATCTCTTGTTCTTTCTTTTTGGTCTGAACCCATGGATGGATAATCTGAAAATAGATTTACTTGGCCAATTTTAGAATCTATGCGAAATTTCTAGTTTCACTATAACAAAATCGGGTTTATAGAACGCCAAAAATCTCTAATGGCCCGTTTCATTTGAGGGATTTGGAATCTTTAGTGTGTTCGGTTTGTCAGATTTGGAATAGAATTGAATTTCATTCTTTATAAAAACAAATTATAAAAAATGTATCAAACTAATAAAATTACATTTTTTTAATTATTGTGAAAAATGTTTTTAACATATTTTAAAACATTATTACAGAGATGTGAAATATCAAACACCTTCTAAGGATTTTAAAATCCTATGTTTATGGGATTTTCAATCCAGGAAATCCTTCAAACCGAACAGTGATTAGAATGGAATTCAATTCCAAATCCCTCCAAATCCAATCCAATCCAATCTTGCAAATCAAACGGGACCTAAGGTCCTAATAAGATACTTTATAGGACTAAACAAATATGCATCATACCAAAGGGCCTTTGGCCTAGGGGTATCGTACTCTTTGAGCTCCTAGGAGGTCAAGGGTTCAAACCTCAGCAAATGTGAGAAGGGTGTGTGAGTTTATGTGTTGCATTTTCCGTATATAAATATTATATACTTCAAAAAAAAAATATGCATCATATATAAAGGCGTTGCAATAAGTTTATAACACGCTTTTGAGCGTATTGACAAATTTTTTAGGACAACTCTAAACTAAAACATCCTGTTAATTTGTTTATATGATATTATTTGAAAAAAATGTTCTATAAAAATAAGCGTCTTAAAAGAATAGATTTATATGGAACACTTCTCAAAAGTGTCTTAAAAAAACTATTTTAGGCACTTTATTTCATAAATGTCCTAAAAACCATTTAGACGCCCAAAAGCATCCAATAAGCTTATTGCAATCACTACAACAAAATCGGGTTTATAGGACAGTCACAATTTCTAAGCGTCCTAATAGACTTTTTTATAAGACTTAGTTTATAGGACCAAAAAATAAAGCGTCATATTTAAAGGTGTTGTAATAAGTTTATATGACATTTTTTAACGTTGTAATAGGTTTTTTAGGACACTTTTAATATAAAGTGTCTCTTTAACAACTTTATAGGACACTATTTGAAAAACTGTCTTATAAAAACAAATGTCCTTTAAAAAAATGAGTTTATAGGACACTTTCTCAAAAAGTGTCATATAAAGTTGCTAATGCGACATTTTGTATAAAAATGTCCTAAAAAACTTGTTAAGACGCCCAAAAGCGTCATATAAACTTATTACAACACCTTTAGATATGATGCTTTATATTTTGGTCCTATAAAGCGGTCTATTGGGACGCTTAGAGATTGAGGGTGCCCTATAAACCCAATTTTAATTGTTTGGTTCCATAAAAATCATGTAAGCAATCTATTATGATGCTTAGATATGTGTAGCGTCCTATAAACCTGTTTCTGTTGTTGTGTTTAAATACCTTATACAAGTCGTTCCACGACCTAACCGAGCGGAATGAACGTTTATTCGTTGCATTCATCTTTGTTTCGTCAAGCCATTTTGTGAATCCATCGATAAATTCATCCAAATTCACTTTGCTATCAGCATCGGTATCGAATTCTTTCATTATTTCTTCCACTCTTTTCTCCTTGTTCCAAGTTAATCGCCTGAACTTGACATCCTCGAGAGCCGCTTTTAGTTCGGAAAAAGATATGTAACTATCGGCATCTTGATCAATCATCATAAATAGACTGCAATTAAACGTTTGCTTTTATAACAATAAATTGATTATATATGATGCCTAAAATGTTGAACCGTCTGATATAAATACTTTATAGGACTTAAGTTTATAGGAACAAACCAAAAACGTCCTATGTAATAATGTTACAATAGGTTTATCAGGCACTTTTAGCCGTTTTAACAAGTTTTCAAAACGTTCTTAAATTAACGTATTAACTATTTTATGCGACACTATCTGAAAAAGTATCCTACAGACACAAGTGCTTCTCAGAAGTGTCCTATAAAGTAGTTAATATGACACTTTATTTTATAAGCCTCCTACATGTTAAAACGCCTAGAAACATTCTATAAACCTATTGGAATCACTACAACAAAATCGGGTTTATAATAGACCTCTTTATAGGACTTAGTTTATAGGACCAAAAAATAAAGGGTCATATATCTAAAGGCGTTGTAATAAGTTTATATGACCTTTTTTTGACGTGGTAATAAGTTTTTAGGACACTTTGAATATAAAGCGTCCAATTAGCAACTTTATAGAACATTATTTGAAAAATTGTCCTATAAAAACAAGTGTTCTATAAAAAATTGAGTTATATAGGACACTTTCTGAAAAGTGTCCTATAAAGTTGCTAATGCAACGTTTTGTATTAAAAAATGTCCTAAAAAACTTGTTAAGACACCCAAAAGCGTCATATAAGCTTATTACAATGTCTTTAGTAGGACGCTTTATATTTTGGTCCTATAAATTAAGTCCTGTAAAAAGGTCTGTTGGGACGCTTAGAGATTGGGGGCGTCCTATAAACGCAACTTTGTTGTAGTGAATGCTTTTAGATAAGATGTTTTATAGTTTAATCCTATAAACCTAAGTTCTATAAAGTATTCTTTAAGGTTTAGGGTCAGGGTTTAATGGCCATAGTTTAGACAGTCCAGGCGTCCTACAAAACCAATTTTGTGGCAGACACTACAGTAAAATTGGGTTTATAGGACGCCCCAATCTCTAAGCATCCCAATAGACTGCTTTATAGGACTTAATTTATAGGACCAAAATATAAAACGTCTTATCTAAAGGTGTTGTAATAAGTTTATATGACGTTTTTGGGCGTTTTAACAAGTTTTTTTTAGGACAGTTTTAATACAAAGTGTCGTGTTAGCAACTTTATAGGACACTTTTCAGAAAGTGTCCTATAAACTCAATTTTTTTATAAAACACTTGTTTTTATAGGACAATTTTTCAAATACTGTGCTATAAAGTTGATAATGGGACACTTTATATTAAAAGTGTCCTAAAAAACTTATTACGACGTCAAAAAACGTCAAATAAACTTATTACAACACCTTTAGATAGGACATTTTTTTTGTCCTATAAGCTAAGTACTATAAAGAGATCTATTAGGACACTTAGAATTTGGGAGCGTCCTATAAACCCGATTTTGTTGTAGAGAGGGAAAGAAACAATAAACTAGAAATGGAGCAAAGATACGAGAAGTAACAAGAATGAACCGTTTTATAGCAGATAGGTTTGGTAAACCATCATCGGTGAGTACTTTTTCCGCTGTGTGCTCTTGCAAATGTTTTAGTATGTCGACAACTAAATGCTCGTGTTTCACGTATGATAATCTTCGCTTTTGGATTGAAGGCTCAAACACCTACACGGGAAAGTTTTAAGCAAACATGAAAACAAATTTAAACGAATATGGTAGTATAAACCAAACAAATCCAGTATTAACCCTACCCAGAGTTGGGGTCTAAGAGGGTGGAATGTACGCAAACCTCTACCCCAGAGAGTTGAGCCACTATTTCCAAGAAGACCCTTGGCATGTGCAAAGTGTGCGAAAAGACACTTTTTTCAAATAGTGCCTTATAAAATGGCTAATAAGACACTTCGTTTCAAAAGTGTCATAAAAAGCTTTTTATGATGCCCAGAAACATGTTTGGTCCTAAAAGGGCTAATAGGACACTTTGTTTCAAAAGGGTTCTAAAAAGCTTTTTATGACGTCCAAAAACGTCATATAAATCTATTACAACACTTTTAGATAGGACACACAAGCGTTTGGTCCTGTGAAATGACTAATAGGACACTTTGTTTCAAAAGTGTCCTAAAAAGCTTTTTATGACGTCTAAAAACGCCGTATAAACCTATTACAACATTTTTTAGATAGAACACACAAGTGTTTGATCTTATAAACTTAAGTCTTATAAAGTAGTTCATTTCCTACATTTTTGGTGTCCTTTAAACCCGATTTTGTTGTAGTGTCTTAACTTGATCTAATGTTATCGATACCTGGTAAATGAAGTATATGATCAAGAACATAACCGTAACACACAGAGCGATCACGATGATATATCCCTCAAACAAATACGCGAGACCAAATATTTCTGGGATTAGTAGGAATATGAACGGAATAACAGAAAGAACCATAATTTTGGCCGCGAAACTTGTCTCGTGATCCGTAGTTACGCCGGAATCTGTAAACAAGCAAACACATGCCATCTAGTAAAGAATGTGAAATCGTGGCAAAGCCAAATTAAATCGATCAACGGAATTAAGTGAGGAAGATTGGAGCTGACCGCTGAAAAACGAAAACAGTTTTTGGTATCGGTTTTGGGTAGGAATCACTGAAGGGGTTGAACCAGATTCTGAGGGAAATTTTCGACTGCCGATGATGACACAAGTTCCCCACAGTAAAGTGAGAAGGAGTGTTGCTGATCCGGCTAGCAAGCCGACTCCGGTTAGGACATACTCTTGAGCTACATCCTTAGTGTTCGAAAGTCCCGATACTGTAAAAAGACAAAGAACATTATAATTAAGGACAAGACGAAAAAGACTGCTAGACGTGAATTTTATGCGACGACACCTAATATGGAGCCCACATCAGCTAGACATGGACCTCTCTCTCTCTCTCTCTATATATATATATACATATAAACCAATTTTAAACATGTGTGAAAAATGTTTTATACCATGATGTTTTATGTGAAACGTTCAAAACTGTTTTTCCACACACAAGACACGCCTAAACGTTTCACATATAAAAGAACATTGTATAAACACGGCATTTTCACACATGTTGTTTCATATGTGAAACAACACATTAAAACTGGGTCGTAAGTTTGTATGATTTATTGAGTTTGTAAATAATTATGCGTCTATATATATATACACACACAAACGACAGCGGATCCGGGAATTTTGAAAGTGATTTATCACATCTTTATTCTTTAACACTGGTTTAAGTAAGGTGAATTTTGAAAGGTAATATTTCTTTGAAGGGTTGATCGGGGGCAGATGACCCCACCGTCTACAGCGTGGGTCCGCCCCTCTATATAGGAACCTCCCCTCTTATTAGGGTTGTTTTAGATAGAATATAAAAGGGTTTCACATATCCTAACAATAAGAAACTAAGATGCAGTTTCAACTGATATCAGAAGAATTAATGGGGGCATACCGAGAAGTATAAATGACTCTGGAAGGAAACCGAGGACCTGGAAAGCACTTGCACCGAAGATGCCGGGACCAAGAATCTGAAAAATCCTTTTACCTCCGGAAGCAACGTACGATTCTCCGTGATATAACAAGTACTCATAAATCAGAATAAGGAAAAGATGGCCTAAAAGATTCTCTGAGCACGGTAGAAAACCGTACATTTGCTCACAACGTTCTTCACGAAGATCAAATCCTTGGAAATGCAAGAACGACGACCCCATTCCCTTCTCTCGAGTTGGATCATCATCGGTGCCATCTGAAATCAACTCAGAACGTAAAACCCGACCTGTAACCTTCACAGTTAACGCGATAAGAAGAAACAAAGCAAAGTATACATATGTTTTCGCGAACTTAACCATCTTTAATGATGGTTTTGGTAACGTTAAACACAGTTAGATATATAGAAAAGGCGATAATTAGTGGAGAAAAGATCGTGGAAAAGCTTAAGAAATTGAGGAAGACTTGTCATTTTGGAATGCTTCCGGGTCGACTCGATGTCGTTTACGGGTTCGATATCTTTTCGTAGCCTCGGAACGGGTGGCAGAGAATTGAACAAGAAGATTCAAGTCATGAAAATGATATTTTTGGTGCCTACTTCAATTGGATTCAATTATTGTATGATAGTTGTTGAATATTCAATGTACTGTTAACTGTTCCTATGTGACAATCTGATTTCACTTGTCAGATATAAAAATACTAGAAGGGTGATCGTATAATATAATGGGATATATCTCAATTTTAATGTTTCATTTTATTATTTATGTATGTCGATATAATACGGTTTTTAGTGGTTTTGAGAAAACAATAATGCTTTTATTTTTCAATAAAATAAAAATTTTAATATATCATAAAAATTTGGAAAAAAAAAAATACATCTGTATTAGTATCAAATTTATTATTCAAAGTTGTGGATTTTTATGTAATTTATTTAATTCAATATTTTATTTATAATTTAATTTAGATTTAGTAACGAAATAATTTATTTATTGTTTAATAATATAATTTTTACAAAAATAATAATTAAGTATTTTGTTATAATAAATGATTATCATAATTATATTTTAAATTTTTTATATTCAAAATGAGATGTCTATCCCATATTTGATTATGTTTATCTATAGTTAGTTACACCAGTTTAAAAAATGAAGCTTTAATAAGTTGTATTTACGCACAATTTACTTATGATCTTGAATTTTTAAATAATATGTATCAATAAACAATACTTTATGCATAAAAATGGTTTTTAAGACTTTTGTTCAAATGCTTTATAATATAGTATATATGGAAAAAGTTTTTAGAAACATGAATTCAGATGAAAAATATAAAAAATATGCCCCAGGCTCATTGTAAACAAATTAAGAGGGGTATAATAAGATATTGTTATATGTATATTTATTTATATCAAAATCAGATATTAAAAATGTAAAAAATAGATCTTGATATTGATATATGTAAGAAGTAAATTAATAGATAAATGTACATTTAGCGTCAAATCTGGTTTGATAATTTTACAAATATTTGACTGGTCGATGGTTCGGTCCTTTTGATTTGATGGGTTATACCCCACACTAATTTATTAGCAACAAAAAGAATCGACGGTCTGAATTTTTAAAATAAAAAGAAAAGAAACGATCGGATTCAAACCTTTGTCCTTCAAATATAGACAACGGAAACTAGGTATTACGGTATATAATAATAATCAGTTATTTTAATACGTTACTAATATGTCGAAACGATAGGTTACTTATTTGAAACCCCCTCATCTCCTGCTCTCTTTTTGAGAGTAATTTATGCAGGCCTCGGCATGGGGGAACAGACCCTAGAGTCCCATGACCGCGCTAACAAAGGGTGTGGCGCTTATACACGCTCATACTTTTGTTGGGACTTCGTTTTTCAAACCCATAACCAGTTGATTCGAAGCTTGAAACGAGGGGGCCTAGGAGCCTAAAAACACTATTTAAACATGTTTTTAGACACTTTTGTGTTTTTCTGCTAATTAAGTGTTTATATTTTGGATAATCATTGCGTGATTTTCAGTTTTCTTCCAAAATTTGAGTTCAACGTGAATTCGATTTGATGCCCAAAGCTTGGTATCGAATCTACCAACTTTGGAAGGGATTATTTCCGGATGTTCACGGAATCAACGGGATTAGTTTTTAGAATCATCCCCATATGCTAACATGGTAGGAGATGATGTCAAAATATAGCAGCTAAAGAACTTACCGATGAACGCAGTGGCTGCCATGTTACAATCATGGGGGTATTCGTCAAGTTATGCTCATATATGAAGCTTCCTCTTCATCTTCAATCATCCCTCATCTCTCTCAGGCATTTCAACAAACAGGTGGCGAGTTAACCCACGTCTTACCACTCGCATCTAGTTCGTGCTCCTTGAACGATAAGCTCAAGAAACAAAAGCGTCAAGTCTTTATAATTCACGCATCTCTTGAACTCGGTATTCGCCTCTTTCAGACGGCCGAGAGGATGGAAATGACGGGAGATGGGTATCTATGGTTAGCGACTAATGAAATCACAGATCTTTTTCATTCCATTAATTCCACCATGACTTCTTCATTGAAAGGCATGGTTGGAGTGACTCGCTACTTACCGGAAAACATACCGGCTTTTCTAAATTTCCAGCGAAAGTTCCGTTCCGAATACCCAGAAGAAGAGCAGGACGAACCAGGAATCTTTGCCGTGCAAGGATATAGTGCCGTGAAATTGTTAGAAATCGACTTCCCTGAAAACCTCCATAACTGGAGACCGCTTCCGGCAACTTCAACGGAGATCGTTAGCATGATCGGAAAGGGATATCACAGTGTGTACTGGACCCAAGGATTAGGATTTCCCGACACTATTTTCGACATCAATGGAGAAACTACTTGCACCCATTCTATTTAATGATGTGGTACAATCTCAGATTTTCTTTTATCAATTTGGATATCCAACCCGTTATGCAAGCCGACGAATTACAGGACGACCTCCTGCTTTTTGTGGGTTGCCCGGAGTCATTTAAACCTCGCTACAAGGGGATTTTTATTTCTCCTTGAATTTGAACTTATAACCTTCAAGCACTATTGACATTTTGGAGCCAAGTTCAAACCAATCAGGCACCACCTTTGTGGTTCGTAAAAAACTGGATTAGGGACAACATTCGTACATTTCTATCTTTGTTGAAGCAATTCGGGGAAGTGGAATGTGTTCGATTTAATTAGATACAGAATCAACCATTTGAGTATTGTTGTTTTTGTTGCCTCAAGAGCTTAACCGAAGCGAAGCATTGGTTTTACGGGCGTGAAGAAAGTGCCCTGAAAAGTGAAAAACATTCCGAGTTCTGACCATCCTTCATGGATCTCTCTCGGCTGTGGGTTTCTTCCGTTTTGGGTTTCCACGTAAATCTCGATGTTATACTTCATACACATCTCTTTATGTTTTGTGTTTGATGCATTTTCGGTATATGAACCGCAACATTTACATGATGTGAGAATCTTTTGTTTTATATATCAAGAACATCTCACTACAACAAAATCGGGTGTATAGAATGCCAAAAATGTCCAAACGTCCTGCTTTATAAGACTTAGGTTTACAGGATTAAATAGTAAAATGTCATATCCGGGATGTGACTTTAGTCGCCAATTTGCACGCCGCACGCCTAGAGGGTCCAAAAGGTTTATGTAGTGGCTTATGCTGCCCCAGCCTCTGTCTTCGTGGAACATCCAGTAGTGCCCGCTACTTTTTGTGAGGTCTTAGGTGCCCTCAAGGAATCCCGTGGGGCTGAAGGCCACCTTCAGCCCCTGTGTGGAACGTGGTTTCCCCATGCCACCCAACATGTAGCCCGTCCCATTTCTTGGTGTGAGCGGGTCTTTTGATCACCGACTGTTGTTTCCATCCCGATATGCCGATTTGAATCGGATTTTGGTAACTTCATTTTTCTCTCTAAAACTTGCTCTCCAAACTTCAAGAACCTTCTCCGTAGATTTCGCTATGAATTTCTCTCAAGTGTATCATCACCAAAGTGATAGTAGATCAGTTCTCGGCGTTCTCTGTCCGTGGTTAACCCTTTCCGGGTTTTCATGTAAAAATCTCGGTATCTCTTTACTTACGTTTTATTTTGCAGTATATTGTGTTGATTATTGTTTACATTATTGTCTATCTGATTTCCGCTTTGAATCATGATATAAAATTTTAGTTCGTTGGTTCTTAATTGGGTTATTTGTGTTTTTATCTTAAACCAACTATCGAGTTTTTAGCCATTTGGTTACGACAAAATACCTGATACAAGTCCTTCCACGAGCTAGTCGAGTGAAATGACTGTTTATTCGATGCATTCTTCTTCGAGCTAATCGAGCCAAAGAAGTTTGTAGAGTCGGGACGATATTTATTGGTTATTGTCTTACTGTACTATTAAAAGTTTAACTGTTCTTAATAAATAATTTTTAATTGATAAAGAATGTAACATATAGCTATATATAAAAAATAATTAAATAGAAAAAAGTATGTGGTATGACGCGGTTTGAACCACGATTTGAGCAATTCAAATCTGTAAACCAAAGCACATAGTGTAGTATACAGATATACAAACCACAAACCATACAACAAAGGTTCTAAACCGCACAATTTAGATGCAGTGTGAACGGTTTATGAGTTGTGCAGTATTTTGAACACCCCTAATAAAAACCAAACCAAACCGAACCGAACCGAACCGAACGAACCCAATATAATAATTTACAATATAAGCTTGTCAAAGTAAAACTTACACAAACCCCTAATTACAATTCTTCATACTTACAATAAGATCAATCTCTTTAGGAGGAAAAAAAGATGATTTAGTTACTGAAAATTACACAAGTTCGAAAAAGTCTGAACTTGCAAGTTGCACGAGATGGGGATTTTCCTGGCTGTTGTCCAAGGTTCTCGGGATTAGTTAAGATGCACACAAGCCGCTCCAAACACCCGTGACTAAAAAAAAGATACAAATTAGGATAGGCATATAAACCATATATTGGCGATGGCGATGGCGATGGCGATGGCGATGCTAGAATACCATCCATATTTTTAGTCCTCATATTTATTTGAATAAATTCGTTACTACGTTTATATATTTGAGTATTATATGCTATCGTTAGTAAAAATGAGGTCATGCTTACGAGTATGAACGTGGTTTCTATATATCTGTCCATCATCGATCTACATCAATGAAAGTTGACAAGAATTTCTTGCACGTTAGCTTTCTTCGAAAGCGTGTGATACGTGATGAACTTTTATTTTTTTCGCTACAAAAAGATCAGAGTAAATTACACAAATCTTCCATGTAGTTTAATGAAACTCGGGAAATTTACCCGAGTTTTGAAATTACTTTAGAGTCCATTATGCATCTTCAAATAGATTTTTAGGGATCTTTTCAGTGATTTGTATATGAACCTTCAGTTCTTAGTTCTCATGATATTTAGCCTTCTTATTTGAGCTTGCTCCCACTATATATACATGTGTGGGGGTCTGTGTGTGTATATATATATATATATATTTATATATATATATTTGAACTTGCTCCCACTATATAT